GAGTTAATAGCTAACAAACATTGGCGAATCAAGGGGTCCAGCCGGCCTCCGCCGCCTGGTACCTCTACTACTCAAGCAGGAGTGACGACGACTGAGTAACACCAACGTTAACTCATAGTCACTCCCTCAAACTTGGTATGGAACCTAAAAGGTTTGAGTAGACCACCTGTTTTTTGGCAAACAGGGGCACTCAAACCACTATTCCTACTAGGTTACCACTCCTCTAGTTAATAGCCAACAAACATTGGCGAATCAAAGGGATCAGCCGGCCTCTGCCGCCGGGTACCTCTACTGCTCAAGATAGAGTGTGACGGAGACTGAGTAACTCCCACGTTAACTTATAGTCACTCTCTCAAACTTAGTATGGAGCCTAAAAGGTATGAGTCGCCCGCCTGTTTTTAGCAAACAGGGGCTTTCAACCACTACTCCTGCTAGGTTAACAACCTTTGAGTTAATAGCCAAGCAAAACTTGGCGAATCAAGGGGACCATGTATCCGGCTTCCGCCGCCTGGTTTCCCTACTACTCAAACAAAATAGGCAGTGATTGAATAACCTCAAGGTTAAACAGTCGCCCTCCTTAGTACAGAACCTAAAAGGTATGAGAGATCCGCCTGTTTTTTTGGCAAACAAGGGCTCTCGACCACTATTCCTACTAGATCTGACAAAAGCTACCGCCCAGGCATAGCTACTCTGGCCAGGCGTCCCGTTCACAGAAACAGACGACCTGTCCCCATCAAACTTGGTGAAATTCACCAAATATTATGAAACCATGCCAAAACATTTTGGCACCACTATTCTTACTAGGTTGGCTATACTTAAAGCTGTCGTCTATAACCTAACAGGTGTAGCTACTTTGGTTGGACGTCCCGTCTGACGCCTGCTTCTATGCAGCCACCAAAGCAAACGACCAGCCATCCCCCAACGAAATAAACTAAGTACCAAACTTAGTATATTGAATCAAAAGAGGACAATGGCCGAATAATGCTAAATGCTTACCCCTTGTGCAATAGTTGACAGTCCACCTGATCAGGGGCTATCTGCATAGTGGGGCAAAGAATCGGCATCTGTCTAGTTCGGCGGCAATCATTATTATGATTGATTAACTTTGAAAATGTCATACCGCCTAAGGTATCAAAATTTTCTAAGTTAATCAAGTCCATCTCCCATTAGAACTAGACAAGATGCCGACCTAGCAAAGCTTCGAGGGTCTAACTTTCAAAAGGAGCAATCCCTCCTGGAAAGAGAAATTACTCCTTCCGAGGGGCAAATGTTTAGGGTAAAAATTACCCATGACAAATGAACCAATCCGGACCTGCCACGTGTCCACCACGTGGGCCAATCAACGTCCGCCACTTGTCACCCTAAGAGGTCCAACATGGACTAATCAGGCCACGCCACGTGGCCTCCCATATGCCAAATAGGCAAAATGGCCACCAAGGCCCAAAGTCCGAGAGAAGCCCAATTTGCCCTGGTTAACCTAAACCTAGGATTGGCACGCTTCTCAAGACTATAAATACTTAATTAATCCTCATTAAAGGGGATTCGGCAATTAATGACTCTCACCTAGAGAAAACCAAAACACATTGATCACTCCTCACCTAGAGGAACCAGATCTTCCAACCTTTACTTTTCCGCACTATTCACTCCTCAAGCAAGTACTAACTTGATCGTCGGAGGCGGAGCTCCTACCACAAGGAGTCTCCGTTTTTTTTTGCAGGTACAGGCGCACGGATCCAGTCTCGAAATTGTAACTTTCCCGCAGGACATCAGAAAACCCCGAAACAGACTCCATGATCTTATCTCTTTTGGTAGTATTATTCACATTTTAAACTTGTTTGTCTAAATAAAGTACATAAAGACCATTTTCAGAATGTGCAATACCATATAAAACATTATCGAGATAAAACGAACATTCATTGTCCTGGAAATTCAAAACCCTTGGCGTCCAACGCCGAAATTGAAATGATGTTTTTGGTAATGTTAGGAACATAATAAACATTATCTAGTTCCAAAACTAGCCCGGTGGGCAAAGACAAACTGAGAGTTCCTATAGGTACAACACCAATTCTGGCTCCATTGCCTACCCGGAGTACAACCTCTCCCTTCTCTAGCCTTCTAGCGTTCCTTAGTCCCTAAGAATTGGAACAAAGGTGTGAGCCACATCCGGTATCTAATACCCATGATGCTAAGCTAGTGAAGTTAAAGTCTATAACGAATATACCTGATTCAAAAGTAATGATTCCGTTCTTCTTATCTTCCTTGAACTTGAGGCAATCTCTCTTCCAATGTCCCTTCTTCTTACAGTAGAAACATTCGGAATCATATTTAGAAGACGCTACCTTCTTTTCTTTGTTATCCTTGGTAGCTTTAGATTTAGGCGGAAAGGTTTTCTTCTTACCCTTCCCCTTAAAGCCTTTCTTCTTATTGCCCGAGAATTTTAACGACTTGCCCTTTTTAATTATGAGAATATCATGCTTCCCCTCATCCTTGAGAGTTTTCTTTGCTTGCTTCAACATACCATGAAGCTCGGTGAGGGTTTTCTCCATGTTATGCATGTTATAGTTCATCTTGAACTGATCATAGCCTTTGTGCAGCGAGTGAAGAATGATGTCAATTGCCATCTCGGTTGAATACCTCGCATCAAGCCTTCCCATGTTCTCAAACAATCCTATCATTTAGAGTACATGTGGGCTGACTGGCTCTCCTTTCTTAAGCTTGCTCTCAAGGATCTGCCTATGGGTTTCAAACCTTTCAGTTTGGGCCTGCTCTTGGAACATATTCTGCAGTTCAGAAATGATCTCAAAAGCTGTCTCCTTTTCAAAGAAAGTCTTTTGAAGCTCGCGAGACATTGTGGCCAACATGATACATTTGACATATCGATTGGCACTTTGCCATCGATTTAGGGCAGCCTGAGTCACCTCCTCATTAGGAGCCTCGGGCATTTCCTCAGTAAGGACATATTCCTTTTGCTCTTGCATGAGAACAATTCGCAAGTTCCTTTGCCAATCAAGAAAATTTGGCCCAATCAACTTCTCCTTGTCGAGAATTGAGCGTAACGAGAATTGGTTTTCTGAGTTATTTGAAGACATGATTCTACAATTGAAAGAATTTGAAATGAAAAACCATTCATAATACTTAAATAAGATTAAATTCATGCATTTTAATTAAATTTATTTAAAACGTCTTATTCACACATTTAAAGTTGTCCCCATTTTGGGTGAGAATAATTCGATTCCAAGATCCAAAGAAACAAAGAGTGGTTAAGCATGCTTTGGCTTGTCTTAACACTCAATCTCCTAAGGTAAGCAACGCTTTGCTAATGGCTCCAAGCCACTCTTGGTTGAATAAATCGTCGCATCTAATGCTCTCTCAACAATTTATTCACTTTGCCACGACATGTTAGGACTCCATTACTCATATTGTTGAGTACAACCAAAACCAACTTGCATACCCGGTATGCCTTACGTTCCTTGGAGAAGTAGTGATGCCTCGCTTTGGCGTAGCCCAACACTACCCTCGTTCGGTTGGTAAGTGTTGTTTTTGAATGACAAGTTTTACTCAATTTTAGGGACCTAGGGTATCTATGTTGGTTGATTTAAGTGAACTTAATTAATCATCACAACATTCGGAATCTTGAACATGCATCGAACATATAATTCATATATAGAGAGAGAGAGAGAGAGAGAGAGAGAGAGAGAGAGAGAGAGAGAGAGAGAGAGAGAGAGAGAGAGAGAGATGCATTTGGCAACTAGCATAACCCCTTGAGATCTTCAAAAGATCTTCATTTGCAACTTCATGGCTTCGTCTTCCAAAACTTGACCAAAATAAATGCAACTACTAGTATCTACGATTAGGACTAATCTAAATATTAAGGTATAAAAATACTCAACGGTTCGCAGACCGTATTTAGATTTACAAAAATACATCACGGATCACAATCCGTATTTTCTATCCTAATCGGGCCCCACTAGTTGCCATTTCATAAAACCTGTGAGAGAGTATACATTCCATTCATCCATTCACTATCTGTGAATGGCCCATGCATTTTACATCAATAAACAAGTAACAACGTATAAACACGCGAGAACTAGTAACTAATCTAGGTGGTTAATCCATTTAACACGCCTAATTAAAACTAGTCAAAGTTGTTTTAACCGGTTATGAAAATAATAAATGAAGCTCCCACTAAATTCCCCATGCAACTTAATTAATCCAATTAATTAAGTCGGTAAACCCAAATATTTGCCAAAATTAAATTTTGCAAATTTCGCTTAAAAAACCGAGGGCTAGCCTCCAAATTTTAATTAAATAAACAAAATAATTAAAATAATTAAAACGATAATTTAAGCAAAAAATTACGTAGTCCAAAATATCTCAGTGCCTAGCACTAAGACTTGGAGTGCTCACACCCCGCACAACCGTTTGATGCTCAATGAATGTGGGAGTGGGTCCGATGTCGCTAAGCGTTACACCGCCCACATCAAAGAACTTTCACGAATCAATAACGTGGCCCTTGATGGCCAAGTTGTACGAACTCATTATTGCACTACATTGCTACGTAAGCAACGTCTACGCATATTACCCTTATTTACATACTAAGCAACGCATAAATTAGCTTTATAAAGCATTGCCTTAAAACCCAGGGTTAATGTGCCAATGATGGGATTGTGCGCATCGTGCTACAAGCACGTAGCACATCCAATCGCACTCCCCGCAACAACAAGCATGCAAACGGGTTGCTTGTGCTCGCACCAGCCACGACCAGCCCAGCGTAGCAGCACCAGCATTCCCTCGCACACACGCACGCACGCATAAGCTAGTTGCCTATGCGCACAGCACTACGCACACACGCACGAGGCGCCCATTAGCCTCGACAGCCTCACGTGGGCTGCGATTAGCTTCTGTTCAAAATGAGAACCCCTCCTATAATGAGAACTAGCCTTTCTCATCCGTCAGATCATAATAAAATCAATGGTTGCGATTAGCTTCTGTCCAAAATGCCTACACAGTACAATACACACCTTCTCGCTCTAACATTTTCTCTCTCTACTCCAGACGTTTACCCTCTAGTTCTTCATAGTTTCATCTAACAAATACTTGATTTGATTTTAATTATGCATTTTCGCACACAAATTTTTGAAATTATTACGCAAAGGTTCGATTTCTCATTTGAATCTGCAAGTTGATTTCATAAGCAAGTATTTTCAAGATACATATGCTGATTTAGGTCCAAAATCGTGGTTTATGAAGCTTCATTATAATTTTCAGGTAAATTTTCGGATTAGATAAGGAATTCTCTCCAAATTTGCAGTTTATGAATCTTGATTGTTTGTTAAATGTGCAGGTTGATCATACCTAACTACCTCTACAATTTGATGATTTTGCTGCAATTTTCTCAACTTTAGAGGTAACTTGTATTTTGATGATTTTGCTGCGCACTAAGTGTTTGACAAAATGCCTCAATGAATTCTACTATTATTTTTTGCAAATTCAAAGTAGATAGAAACCAATTAAAAGTAAATCAATTACATTTTAAAGTAAATTAATTTTGGGTATTGATTTTGTACTTTCTAGATAGATGATCTGTACTTTTTTGAGTGAAATGTAGACTTAATTTGATACTACAAATCTACAATATTAGATATAGCTTAATTTTACAATATATAATATGATACTTTATATTGTTCTTAGTTATTCTTTGTTTGATTCCTTTCTTACGTGTGAGGTTTAAGAGCTTAATAAATTGGGTTCATGTTGATTTTGTTCTGGTTGATGCTTCATGTATGTATTGGTGATGATTTTCTGTGAATGTTGGGGAGTTATTAGCTTTATTGTTTTGTGGCTTATGTTTCTAACTTTGACCATTTTGCATGATTCAAGTGCGGCTCAGGTTGTCCTACAGCCCCATAAAAAGATTGTAAATTTATTAATTGGAAGTGGCTCTTCTCAACTTGGTAAGATCACTATTGTTATTGAGCCACACCCCATTGATATCCTATATCAGAGCCACACCCCATTGATATCCTATATCAACCAAATTTTGTTGATATAATGGCAATCTTGTAATATTTGTGAACTTTTTCTGAATTCCACAACTTCACTAGTGGAATGCTGATGTGGACTCCGTTTGTCCAAATTTTTAATTAAAACTTGTAACGGTACTTATATTGACGGAAAAGTTAACGCCATCTATTCTAATCTATTGAGTTCCCAGATGGATGAGGAGAGAGAATAACAGGTTGCTGCTCGTCATAAGAGGTAAATATGGTTGTCGGCGGTGGATAATCCTGTACCATCGTCGCTCAAACACTCAAATCAAAATGCAACTTCTATTTTCGTCTCAAATCGCAACAGTATTTCGCTTTAAACATGGAGTGCAGGAGAGAGATTATGCAAAATTTCGACATGGAAGTGTAGATCCTTAGACCCGAAATATCAAGGTAAGAAATTATAGCTGAATAAATATGTTATCCCGTACGAATAATCCCTCCAGCAATTTGGGATTTGATTCCTCGAAACCAACAATGTTCAGCGTACGATGAACCACTCTTTTTTTATCATCAAAAATCCGACATTTCCGTCTACACATTAGTGACCATTGTTGCAGACTTGCAGTAGAGAGTAGAGAGAGAATACTCCACTCATTAGTGACCATCGTATTGAGGAGAGAGAAACAAACGTTAACAGCGGTTGACGTCCACCACAAACCAAAACGGAGGACATATAACGGGATATCATTTATATTCCAATCTTGTCTTTACTTTAATGACTGATTAGACGAAAAAGCCCTTATATCAACGCGCTTTGTTGATATAGGATATGAATATGTATTTGCTCATTGTTATTGCTGCTACAAATTCTAAAACTAAGTTAGATATCCTTTAAAGTAGACTAAACTGCTCCAAAAGTTATTAAACAAAGAGCTTCTGGTTGAGGATTTTTTCATAATTTAATTTTCACTTGTTATAGGATTTACGTATTCACTAGAATTTGGTATCATTGTACTGTGTTTACTTCAGCTTGTTATACTTCACAGCCTTCATTAACTGCTGCTTCATGTCTCCTTTTCTTTGTCAAATGAAAATGTACTAATGACAATTTTGATATGAAAAATTCTATCCATGAGCAAAAATGGGTTGTTGCTGTGCTTCTTATAGTTCCTATCTACGCCACTGAGTCAGTAAGTAGTATCCCTCTTAGGTTATGATTTATCTTTCATGATAAAAATTACAGAGGCAGTACCGGAGGAGGGCAGTAGTTTAGTAGTATGTTTTTCTAACTATGATCATTTTAAAAGTAAATTGAAAATTAGTAAAAGTAAACCAATTAGTCTTAAAAGTATGTTTTTCTTTTATGAATTTTGTGCACTTGGAGATTCTTATTTTGTTATTAACTTGAAGCCATCAACTGATTTGGGCATTTGGCTATGGTAGACTAGCCACTCACTGACAATCTCCTAATCTGTTCATAGATAACAGATCAACTGGTAATCCTTCTCAATCCCTTCTTTTTATAACTGTATCAGTGTATATACATATGAGTATACGACTGTAGTTTAGTACGAGTAACATTTTTATTGTGAATAATTTGAATATGTTTTCCCTAAACCTTTTATTCTAACTACTAGCAACTGCAAAATTCCATAACATGATCAAAATCCTTAGTGGTACTCCCACCTGAAATTGACAGTTTGCATTAATTGCAAACTCTGGCTGTCTAATAATTACATTGGAGGGAAAATTCCATCTAATATAACAAATTGCTATAGCCTTACTTGTATACACCTTTCCCTAAACAAGTTTGTGGGAGAAAATCCCACCAACTGTTGGTTCCCTGTCAACGTTTACAATTTCTTATGTTAACAAGGAATAACTCAATAGGAAATGTTCCTTCATAGAACTTATTATCATTATCCCTCTCTATGCTCTCAGTAGGTGAATATAATTTAGTTGGAAGAACTCAGATAGTCTAGGCAAACTAAAGAACCACGAGTCTGAACTTATGTGAGAATATGTTTTCGAGAGTACTTCCCCCCTCTATGTTTAACCTCTCTGCTTGTTGACAACCTTTTCAAGTCTGCATTTAGCAGCAACAACAATAGCAGAAGCCTCAATTGGCTTGCCCTGATCTTTTGGAAAAAGTTCATTCCTAGACCAATTGTCTCTTAAAGTAAATAAAATATAGTCTAAAATTAATAAAAAAACACTTAAAAGTAAACCTATTAGCTCAAGTGGTAGAGCATTATGCGGATGCATAAAGGTGTAGGTTCGAATCCTATATAGGTTATTTCAAAAAGTAAATAATAAACACTCTAAAGTAATTCAAAATATTTGAAAAGTAAATTAAATTAACTCTAAGATATACAAACAAACTAAAGGTTGTTTTTGATGATGTTTGTAACATGAGGTTAACTCAATCCTATAGTGGACACATTTGCTCTCATTACTATCGGTCAAATGGTACTTTGAAGTGAATTTCATATTTATCTCAAAATTTGATACAAAATAATAAAAAGTAAATCGATTTATTCCAAAAGTGAATAAAAAATGTCTCAAAAGTAAATAGAAAAACTAAAAAGTACGAGTAAATCAAAATACCTCAGAAAAAAAAAATCAAAAGTAGATTAAAATATCTCTAAAGTAAATCATATTTACACAAAAGTAAACAAAAAAAGCTAAAAAGTAAATAAGAATATTATAACAGTTGATTAAAAAAATTAACTCAAAATAAATACAAATATCTCAAAAGTGTCTCTACTATAGAATGATTTATTAAAAGAGCCTACGTGGGATTCAAACTCACATTTTTTGTGCACATGCACAATGCTCTACCAATTGAGCTAGTAGGATATTTTAGGATAAGGATAGTAATTCAATGCCAAACAACAATAAAGTTGTTCAATGTTCCTATCTTCATAGCCTGACATACAAATTAGCCTCAATAGTTTTCTGCCAAGAGGTTCTTAACATGTTTAATATTCAAGCTGAACTATAAGTGATAGACCATAGACCAAACAGGAAAAAGAATTGTCTCTGATGTTTCCTTTCTTGTGGCCAAAAAAGAGTATTCTAGGCTGCACCGGCGAGTTTAGCCGCAAATTTGGGTTTACTAGTATCTAATTCTAATTCCCACAAGGGAGAAACTAGCTATACTATATTTATTCAAGGTTATCACTTAAACAATCTTATATACTACCTCCGTTAATTGTTTTATGCAACTTTGAGGGGGTTTTCGGTTACCAATGCAAAATTTGAGGGGTATAGATTAAGGGTTGATTTGTAAAAGTAATTAAAGTTGGGAGGAGAGATAATGGTAGGCCACCCCCATGTGTGTTGGTGGGGAAATCAGTCCCTTTTAGAGGGAATCAATTACCCATCGAAATTTTCTGCCAAAATTTAAAAGGTTTGAATTTTTGGGTGGGATTTGAATTCCGTCCAACAGATTTAAAAATAAAAAAACACCTTGTCATTCAAATTTCATTAGAGGTTCCACATTCCATTCATTGTTTTAGAGGCTTATAAATACTAGCCCCCAACTACCAAAAGCCATTAAATGTTCCCCCATTAATTACAAACATTCTGTTTTCCAAATCATGAAAGTGTTTGCCAAAAGTTAGCACTAAGCACCCTAAATTAGCCCATAATTAGTCAAAAAATTTAATTAGTGCTGCACAAAATCTTCACATAAATCCGTCATCATCATTGCTTTATCTACACAAAAGGAAGGGCTGCTTCATCTCCTCAAAAACCATCATCAGCTAGCCCATCAACAGCAACAGCAATCTGCAAACACACAAGGACAAAACCAGCCATGGCAGAGTTTGATGAATCTATGTTTTATGATTTTGACCACTTATTGACAGAGGAAGAGTTGGCAGAATTATACTTTGATGTAGAGGAGGAGATGCAAGATGAAGACATAGAGCAATACGACTCTGAAAATGAAAATATGCAGCAAGAGGATGATACAGAAATTGGGACTCATGTATTAGAACCAGAACCTGAAGTTCAGGGCATGCAAGATGACCAACAAGGCACTCAGAGCATTAACAGGAAACAACTAACAATGCAACAAAGAAGATAGATTGTTGATGCAATGTTGTGCAAAATGCAAGATGGTAATTTGCCAAGAGGTTATAAAGTGGGACTTTCAGTTCAATTCCATGTTCACAAATCAACAATCACAAGGATATTCACTGACATTAAAAAAAAAAGATGTCTCAAGGAAATTTAATTGATGTCAGGTCTAAGAAAATAGGCAGAACAGGTCCAAAACCAAGGGAATTCACAGATGAATTTCTACAGTCAGTGCCCCTTCATTTAAGGCAGACTGAAAGGTCTTATGCATCAGCACTGAAGATATCTGATGTCACTCTTCATTATTTGAAGAAAAAGGGGAGGCTGAGAACACATACTGCAAGTAACAAGCCAGCACTTTCATCTGACCATAAAGTAGCAAGAATGAAGTGGGTTCTATCTCATATTAATCCTGTCTTAGGAAATGAGGACCCAACATTTGAAGATATGGACATAGTAATACACATTGATGAGAAATGGTTCTACTTGAACCCAGACAAGAGGAGATTTTATCTCCTTCCAAGTGAAGAAGATCCATACATGGCACAACAATCAAGAAGGTTTAAGTTAAAGGCCATGTTCATGGCACTAATTGGGAAGCCACTTTATGGGCCTAATGGGGAACTCATTCATGATGGGAAATATGGAATATTTCCTTTTACAGTTCAAGAGAGGGCTAAGAAATCAAGTAAAAACAGAGCAGCAGGAACAATGGTCACAAAGGCACTCCAAAATGTAAACAGAGAAGTTATTAGAGAAGTGTTGCTCAACAAAGTTATACCAGCTATAATTGCTAAGTGGCCTGAAAGTCAACCTAAGAATGTAATCATTCAGTGGGATAATGCAAGACCACATCAAATACCAACAGATGATGAGTTTATTGCAGCAGCAACAACAAATGGATTCAACATACATTTTGTCTTCCAGCCAGCACAATCACCAGATTTAAATGTGTTGGATTTAGGATTGTTTAGGTCTATTCAATCTTTATAGTACCAGTCCTTTCCCAAAAATCTAGATGAACTTGTTGAGAAAGTTATTGACTCATATAACACCTTCAAACCAGAAGTGAACAAGTACATTTGGGTCACTTTACAGAGATGCATGATCAAGATACTGAAAGCACAAAGAGGTAACAAGTACAAAATCCCACACATGAACAAGAAAAAGCTAGAAAATCTGGGAACTCTGCCAAATGTTGTGCAGGTTTAGAAGGAAGTAGTAATTGAGGCTGTGGAGTATCTAAACACAATGTTTAGGCCAGCACCTCAAGGTAATCATGATGCAGAGGAGGACATGGAGGTGGATGCAGACTAAGTCAAGGAAAGAAACAGACTTAGAACATCAACATGTACTGCCACACATAACCATCTACAGTGTGTAGTTCTTTTTTAGGTCATTTAATTTTATTAGTCTTGTTTATGACTAGGTGGTTAGGTGTATTTTGTTTTGTATAATGTGATAGACCACTAAGGCAGTGATATGTTAGTTCTTCTATAATAGGCTTTTTGTAGCCACATTTTGTATAATGTGATAGTTGGAGCAAATTACTTGTTCAATTTGTAATTCAATGGAGTCCCTTCATCATATGGACTTCAATTAAACAAGGTACTCAGACAATATTGGGACTCCCTACTGAGTAATACACAAGCAGCAAAGGGGACTCAAACATGTACCACTGTTCTCTACACAATTGATCGTTGAGAACAAGACATAAAAATCAGAAGTTTACCACAAAAAATCAGTAACTAGGTAGCATCATCATTCATCAATCAAATTCCCTGTTCAAGCCATAAGTAATTCATGCCAAATAAACCAACAAAAACAATTGTCCAAACAATCAACCAACATCATAAATAACCAAAAATATACATACTCCACCCACAATATAGCCAACACAACAGTAGAGACCAGCATCATCAGCAGACCACCATCAACAGTAAGGTAATCAACTAACCATCAACACAGGACAATCCAAAAACATAACTAGGGTAAACAAATTTCCAATACTTTTCAGAGTAGAGAAGAGCAACCAATTAACCAACAACAATTACCCATATACAATTAACCAACAACAACAACAATTAACCATATTCAATTAACCAACAACAACAATTAACCAGTCCAAACAATCAACCAACAACAATTAACCACTCCAAACAATCCACCAACAACATAAATAACAAGCCCAAACAATCCACCAACATCACAAATAACCCAAAAAATCCGCCAACATCATCAGGTTCAATTAACCAACAACAACAATTAATCATGTTCAAACCAATTACCCACCACATAATCACAACTAAATAACCAATATAGCATAGAATCAAGTAAGAGGGACTCATAAATTTAAAATTAAGAAATTAGGGTTAGGAATCGTTACGAGAGCAGTTAATCGGAGGGTTGAACCCTAGGGTTTAGCCGCCTCACAGAGCAGTGCACAACAGGGACAGAACTAGAGTCAGATTCCGGTTCAAGGGACAGAGGTGGCTCATCAGCCTCCTCATCAGATGAAAGGACGATGAGTTCCTCATCAGGAAGCCCACGCATCCTTCTCAACGCTACACGCGCCGCCTTCCGAGTAGCACGCACCTTAAAGGGAGGCCTTTCCCTCTTAGATCTAGGTTTTTTTGGAGGAGCCGCACTCCCCTCTCTCCAGTTTCCGCCACCATTTCCACCGGAATATCAGAAAAATCAAGGGACTTCCTACGGGACTCACCCTCTCCTTCCTCCCTCTTTTTTTTTTTCTTCCTCATCAACTCTTTTCAGTACTTGACCCAGAGCCTGATAGGTGTATAACGTACAATAGGGACCCGTTTCGCTGGACTCGTAGAAAGCACGAGGGAAGGGTGAACAAGTCTCAAAGCAGTGTATGAGATGCTGGATCAAGTTCTCTTCACCCTTTTCGTCTGTGGCCATGTAAGCATCTTTCAACGGATCAAGGTTAATCATGGTTGACAGGGGACATGTGGTTGAAAAAGAGAGAAGGAGAGAAGTTTAGATCTGGAGAGAGGAAGTGGGAAATCAAAGAAGAAGAGGAGAGAGAAAACCCCAAATGATGAATTAGGGTTCATCTGTAGAAATATCCAGAAGAAATAGAGGAGGCAAATCATCGTAATTAATTTTAGGTGGGTGGGGATGTGAGTGAATGAAAAGGTTGGTGGGAATTGGGGTAATGAATGGAGGGAGTCATTAGTTTAGGGAATCTGATTAGATTAGAGTAGATGTAAGGTTAGTGTAATTAAGTTAGACTAAGGGTAACAATTATAAAATAAAAAGGGCTAAGTAAGGGTAAATCAGTAATTTCCACCTTTTTTTTTTACTAAAAATAGTAAGAAAATGGAAAGTTGCACATAACTCCGATCATCCCGAAATGGAAAAAGTCACACAAAACAATTAACGGAGGTAGTATATGACCAGGTTATAATGAGAATCAATTCTATAATAGGAACTAAAAACTCATTACAACCGTTAGATTAAAAAAATAATGAATGGATAAGATCATTTTAATATTTAGAGATCACCCAATTTACCTCTCTCCCAATTCTCTATCCTCTAATCCTCTCTCCTCCATTGAAGCCACTGCTCTATATCCTCCATCAAAGCGGCTTTTGAGGTTTCACTTCTCCATTGAAGTAACTTTCAAGCTTTATTTACTCCATTGAAGCAACTTCCGAGGTACGATTTTTTTCTTGTCGTCGTTTTTAAATCACTAAATTTCTATATCTATATATGGTTTATCGTTAATCTATTGTCAGTATTGTGAATTTAGGGTTGATAATAGTGAACTTCGAATTATGATTATAATTTATGAGGTTGTGAACATGTAAACGATCATAAATTAACTTGAAATCCATTCATATAAAGCTTAATATTTTTCTAGGTTTATAAAAATTTTGAGCCCTATTTTTTTTATTGATATTTAATTTTTTTTTTTCAAATTAGATTGGATTTTGCTGCAAATTATGTTTGGAATTTTTTGATATTTTTTTATGAATTTGTTCAAATCATGAAAAATTTTGCAAACTAATTTGATTTGAGATATTTCAAACAATTCATTAACCTCCTTGTCTGTTTTTGTTGGAATTATGATAGTTACTTATTTTGATGCTCAATGAGGCCAACTTAGTTAGTCATTATCAATTTTCAGGTCTGTAATTTGGTGAGAATTATTCATACCTCTTGCTTACAAACATAGTGAATATGAATTGTTAGTGCTTCTTGTTATGTTTAAAAGTAATTAGAAATTAGTAAAAGTAAAATAATTAGTCTCATAAGTAAATAGAAAATTTGTGCTAATTGGTGCTAAAGGATTTTGGTGTGAAAGTTGAGGATGTGATCAATAAGGCTATGAATTTGGTCGGTGAATATGAAAAATTTAATGTGGTTGCTGCACCTCAACTGCTGGTACTAGCAAGACTTGGCACCTCCCTAACTTTGGCTTCTATAAAATTGATCAGTGCCATTTATGGAACCTTTAAGCTATGTTTTCTTTATATTTTTATGCTTGTTTTTAGTCGTTTATGTCGCGTTTTTAGGGAATAATGATCGATTTGCGTGTTTGTGTGTTAGTTTAGAGAAATGCGTGCTTTTAATGGTTTTGTTATTATTTTATTCATTTCTAGGCTTTTTCTCTCGCTTCTCTGTTTCTTTGTCTTGGTTTGCAGGTATGTCGAGTTCCTGCGGATTTAATAATCAAGGAGGGAGCTCAATTGCATTTAAGGAATTTAACGGAGCCAAGTTAGGGAAGCCAAGCACGCAAGTCAAGACAATCCAAGCAAGCTCCAAAAGCTCGATTTCCGAGGTGGCGATCCTGAGCGTCAAGGAAGCGAGCCGAGTGCCTAGAAGTGCAGCAGCCCGAGCTCCCTTGCGCGCAGCATGAGCAGCAACGCACCAACAGCTCGGGCGCGCAACCAGCCGCGCAGCAACACAACCGCGGGCTGGCCGCGGGCACGGGTGGCTGTTGCACAGTTTCTCTCGATTTGATGCAGGAACTTCCCGAGTGCAGGTCGCGGGCACCCTGAGGGCGCGGGCCTAGCCCTGCGGGCGCGAGTTTAGGGGTTTTCTCCTCGGCGGGCCCGAGTTTCTGGGTTTTACTTGGATTTCTTTTATATTCTCCTTTTGTATATATAGTGTACGACCTTCTTTATTCTTCATACATGAAATACTTTAGTTTAGAATAGTTTCTCTCTCCTCTAAGGAGGATTAGGGTGGATTAGGAGTTCCTCTCTCTAGATTAGGAGTAGTTTTAGAGAGAGAAAGTGAAAGATTTCAATGGTGATTGAGAGATTGAAGATACAAGGGTGACAATCGTGTTGAAGATCCTCTCTATTATCAATGAGCATTCTTAACTCTATTTCACCTTATTGTTTTGTTTAATTTCATGTTTGCTTGGTGTAAATTTGATGTTTGATGCTTGATTAGTGTAGTTGTTCTTGATATATTGTTGATTCTTGATTTCTTTATTTGTTTGTTGATAGATGATGATATTTGAATATTTGTTGGCTAGGAATTGGGTGAAACTTGTATGATTGATTAATTGTTATTAATTTGGGAATCGTGTTGATTGATTGTTGAGATTAAAATGATTAGTGAAGGTTTGAACATTACCGTTCCTTTGGGTTCGACCCTTGACTTGCCTCTATATTCGTATTTAGGTTTGTTAAGTGTTTATAAATTTAGTTTGACCGAGGGAAGATTAGATAACGAACTAGTTTTCCTCTCGTCAAAATGGCACCGTTGCCGGGGAACGGTGTCAATGTTTGAGTGTTTTTTATTGCTCGAGTCTAGGTCTTTGTGTATACCTTTCTTTTATTTGATTTTTTTTTTTGTTTTGTAAAAAAAAAAAATGGCATGTCTATCATTTCCTCAATATAGCAATGAGCCTTTTGGTGAATATTTCAATACTTGAGGGATTTTTGGACTATAATTGTTGTAATATTTGGGAGGCTTGTGAGATTTGTTATTTTGGTTTGAAAGAGCAAAACTAG